ACTGTGGTTCTATAATAAGAAATAAAGATATATAAAAAAAAATCATGGAAATCAGGCAATTAATCATTAATTAAAAATTTAAAACCCGTCCCGCCCTTTAACCCATCGCAGACACAAAGGAGGGGGGGGGAATATTACCCCCTGACAAAATTTTTAAATTATTTAAAGAGTATGACTAAGTAAAAAGTAAAAACACTTGAAATTTTAGCTACTTGCTCCAAATATTTAGGCGAATTTAAGTAAAAAAAATTCATTTGAAATGCCTAATCTGAGCATATTAGTCAAATCCATGGATCGATTCGGTCAAACGAATGACTGGTCAAAAACTTAAATTTTGAATTCTGGCTTTCCTTTGTAATCCTGAAGTTTCATATTTTCCAAGAAGCTTTTTTTTATACTTGCATATTTATAATTATTTCAATAAATGATGTATGAGAAGTTGTTAGTCCAAGCTCCTACTTTTTTGGATCTGGATCATGATTCAACAAGTTAAACTAATTGATCCCAAATTTTCAAAATAGGTTAAGAAAAATAGAAAACTTAATAAAAACCAAGCACTGAAAGTATGCTTTTCTAAATAAACCCCTCCCACCCTGTGCCAACAACTTATAAAAAATAGGTAAGCCTTAAAGCTGCTGCCCAATAACATTACCTACATAAAAATGCCCTAATTAAAAAACCTACCTATCAGCCTCTCCATGAGTTGTATTCAGGCTTTCTCTAAAATATTTTAAATTTAATAGTATCGTGTTAAAAATACAACAAACTTTCTACTTTAAAAAATATATATATATATATATATATATATATATATATATATATATATATATATATATATATATATATATATATATATATATATATATATATGTGTGTGTGTATATATATATATATATATATATATATATATATATATATATATATATATATATATATATATATATTTAAATACAATAATAATTATTAATACAACAGAATTTATGCATATTTATTAGATTCTCAAACAGCATGTTCATTATAATGAACATGCTGTTTAAGAATCTAATATCTTAATTTTGTATCTAATATCTTAATTTTTGTGATTTGTGACGTGATTTAAATGCGCTAGTGACGCGATTTAAATGCGCTATTGGAAGACGTTATGAATTGCGGGAAAATAAATAACACTTGAGTGCTATTTATTTTCCCGCAATTCATAATGCCTAATGATTTAAATTACGTCACTCTACGACTCAATTTACTCAGAAAGTTACGCAATTCAATGTACACTCTGATTGCGAGAAAAATTTTTAATTCAACTAGATTTTTTTGGTAATAATTTAATTTTAACGTAAGGGACAGATTGTCCCGGGCGGCAGATTTCCAAGGGGCACCAAATAGAATGAAGGTACCTTGGAACAAAGGTCCTTTACCGATAATATAGGAGAATTTAGATAATTAAGAACGCCAATCATGTTGCTGTCCCGGGCGGCGAAACAGTTCTTGGCGGCATTTTATATATATATATATATAGTTATTTGTTATTATTTAATTTTTTTACAACACTTTTATTTATATACATTCAATAAAAATAGTTTTTAATTATTTTGTAATTATAATATATTTTTATTTATTTCCATACTTATAATGTTGTGTAGCGCAGGTGGTAAGGCACTAATGGTCTAGTAATCCGGGTTTCGAAACCTACCACCGATAAGTTTTTCATTTTTCAAAATAAATTTAAAAAATGGAAAATCTTACGAATCCTTTAAGATACCCTACAGGATAATCACAGGATTTCTTATGATCTTATAAGATTTGTAAGACAAAAAAAATCTTACGAATCCTTTAAGATACCCTATAGGTAATCACAGGATTTCTTATGGTCCTATAAGATTTGAAAGACAAATAAAATCTTACAAATCCTGTAAGATATCCTGTAGGATAGTATAAGATTATATGCGATCCTATAAGACTCATAAGTTGTCTGTAAGATAGTCGACTAGTGTTATCTTCTTAAAAACACATGTTTACGTAGTTTTCCATGTTAATTAAACTAAAATAAAAAATCTATAAAGTGACGTCCTTTTCTGACAACCTCCTCCTCCCCTTGTCCTTTTTTGTCCTTTTTAACTCGACACCCTCCCCCCCCCTATTTGGATGACGTCCTTTATGGATGGCCCCATAGAACATTTTAAAAGTAATTTTCTATAAATTTAAGAAAACTTTTAACAAAAAAAAAAAGAAAAAAAGATTTTAAACATACTTATACATAATATTTATTTGTAATTTTGGTTCATTACTTAAGTCAATTTATAACAAAAGCACCCTGAAAATTTCAAGTCAGCATATAGTCCCAAACTAAAAATATTGTATTTTAAAATTTAGGTATTTGGTAAAAATGACATTTTGAGAAAAACACAAAAAACAAAATAAAAGTATGTTATATTAGGAAAAAAAGTACAAGCTCAATTAAAAACCTCCACTATTATATTGTGGGTCCTTTTCCAGTTCTTTTTCAATATCTATGTAACCTTTTTTGATGGTTCTAAGCTGTTTTCTCTTTAATTTACCTTTAGCACTTGATTTGTGATTCATTTTTTTAATTCGGATGAGGTCCAATTTACAAAGTCCTTCTTCCATAAACATACTTGGTTCAATACCTCCAGCACTAATTACTTTTTCAACTGCTGTGCTTCCATCATTAAATGCTATAATAGCTGAGTTCATACTTATCTCAAGAACTTTTTTCCCAACAAAAAAATCTTTAGGACATCTTTTTCATATTAAGGCATTCAGACTTTAATTGTTATTTTAAATTTGTCAGTGCAAACATTTTGATAACAATGTTTCATTTGTCAAATCTGTAAATATAGGCATAAGTACTGCTTTAATTGCTAATGGTAAGCTTAATTTGGTTTTGTATGTTGTTTCACCAGTTACTTTATTACTCTGCCACAAACACCAACTAGTTCTAGTTCGTGGGTAAAATTTGTGTCTCTCTGACTCTTCACTTATGTCACTGTTGTGAAATAAAACAGCCCAAGCAGCTTTTTTCATTGCATAAAGGTTATTCACATTTTGACGGATAGCCATACCAAAATAATTTTGAATAGTATTTATGGCTTTATCTGTCAGACGACCTTTTCCATTTATTTTTTCCATCTGAAAGAAACTGACCTTTAAGTGTAACTCTAAGGTTACGCGCACGATTTCCAAGTCTCTTTTGGTAATGTCCAACACAATAGTCTGTTTATTTCAAAACCTGGATATGGATTACTTGCAACAACATCATTATATGCTGAGCTGTCACCATCTCCAATATATCCTTCATATCTCAAACTATGCTTTTCAATTGATCGTTGAAAAATTGAAACAGCACCAGAAGCTTCCATGAATCCTGATGATTTATTGTGGTTAGCTTCACAAACATGATTTATTTTCCAGTTTTGATAACCTGGTGTTGACTTTTTTTTGTTCCAATAAATAAAAGCTTTGCAGAACTTAGTTAACAAAATTGAATCAAGACATTTTCCATTCTCTCTTGATATTGCAGTGACAATACCATTTAAAGATTGATGACCTCTCTTTTGCCAGGTACCATCAACAAAAACTTGGCAAGCAGAAACATCATAAACATTGCTTGAATTAGAAATAATATCTTTGGTTTCATTGGCAGCACTTGATATACTTGCAGAAGCAACTTCATTATAAATATTTAACAAGTTGTTATTAATTGCACTATAATTTTTAAAATTCATAGGAGATGGCATGTTCATTACTGCAGCAAATTTGCATATAGATTGATAACCTTTACCAATTTCACGAAAAGCAGTAACAACTTGAAAATTAACTGATGCAGTAGGAACACCTGGAGTACTTTTAGATTTTTAGTTGAAAACTGAGACGTGTGCCATCCTTTGCTAAATGGGCAACAAAGGCACTGTAAAGTTAAATAACATAGTCATAGTATTTACTATACTATGACTATGATAAAAACAAAAATTTTTTGTGAAGCCGTGAACCTTAGTCATATGCGGACAAATAGGAACAATGTTTATATATATATATATACATACGTGGCTATATTAAAATGTATAATAAAGATGGCTTACTTATTAGAATATATATATTTAAATATAGTACAGTGTTTTATTAACGACACAACAATGGCGCTGTGAGTAGGGTCCGATTTGACTTTAGATGATCCAGACAATGCAGAAGCATGGATTAGATGCTTTTCAGCATCCGCACGTTCAAAGAAATTAAAAGATGAGATAAACGGTAGCTACGAGAAAACAGATTTATTTATGGCAAAAGCAGGCATTGAAGCAATTAAAAAGATTTCCCTTATGGTATATCCAGAAGAATTAGAAAATATGATGTTCGATGATATCAAAGCTGTTGTTATGTCCCATTTGAGGCCTCAAAAACGACTAATTATTGCTGAAAGAGTTCGATTTTTAGCATTAAAACAGCAAAACATCGTATCATATGCACAAAGATTACGCGAAGCTTTACGCTTTTGCAACTTCGAAAAATTGGGAAAAGACGGCCAAAGCGCGGAAAATGATTTGATTCAAATGAGATTAATTGATGGCCTCCAATCTTCTGATCAGAGAGTTAAAGCTCTAGAAATGATACTGAGTGGAGAATCGCCTAAACTAGGAGCATGTATTGATTTTATCAGGCAACTGGAGCAAATATCCTGTTTTAGTATACAAAACAACATTGAAAACAGCATAGACCTTCCTTCAGTTAATTACATTGATAAAAATAAAGAAAGAACGATTAAATGCAAGTATTGTGGCCTTCAACACCCACCTAGGAAATGCCCAGCATTTAGGAAGAGTTGAAAAAAATGTGGGAAGCTGAACCACTTTAAAAACGTATGCAAAACAAACATTAAATATGAAAAAATAGTAGAGGAAATAGAGAACGATGATGCTAGTGTGTATTCCATTAACATAAATAATACAAACTCAGAGATTAGTGTAAAAGTTAATGACTTCAATATAAAAATGCAAGTTGACACCGGAAGTCAAGTCACAATTATTCCAAAGAATTTTTGGGAACTAATGTCTAAACCGAAATTACAAAAATGCTACCTTCACCTGAAACAGTTTGATGGTACAGTTATAAAAGTCCTAGGTAAATTTGAGGCAACTTTGGAAACTGAATCAAAAATGAATATCGTACGAATTATTGTTGCAGACTGTACAAAACGTCATGGTCTAATTGGTATGGATGTATTAAATATCAACGCCACAAAATTAGTTAATAGTATGGAACCTATTGTTGAGGGGTGTTTAATTAATTACAAAGCAAATATTCTGTTAAAAAATGGCATACAACCAACTTATTTTGAATCTCGACCTCTTCCTATTCACATAAGACCACTAGTGGTAGATAAACTTAATGGAATGATACAGCAAGGGTTGCTTCAAAGGGTTCCTCCTGGTGGAAGCAGATGGGCTTCACCGCTTGTGGTTGTTAGAAAAACAGACAGAGATTTACGCATTTGTGCGGATTACAAAATAGGTGTTAACCAAAAAATATGCTCAGACTCATATCCTATCCCAAACATTGAGACCGTATTTCATAAAATGGTAGGGATGAAATATTTTGCTAAAATTGATCTTAAGGGAGCTTATCATCAAATTGAGATGGACAAAGAGGCACGAGAAATAACGACAGTTAATACCCCTATTGGATTATTAAGATGGACTTGTTTACCTTTCGGAATAAAGACTGCAAGTGCAATATTTCAAAGAGCGATTGAATCTGTTGTTGGCGATATTATTCCCAATTTGATTATATTTCAAGATGATATATGTATCTGTGTTAAAAATGCTGAAGAACTCAAATCGAATTTGAATAAAATATTGAGCAAATTGAAGGAACCGGGAATAAGCATAAATAAACGAAACTCAGTGAATGAAATAAAAAGCCTTTCATTTTTAGGATAAGAACTGTCAGAAAAGGGAGTTACCCCAGATCGTAATTTAGTCAGCAAAATACTTGGAATCCTCCTAATGATAAAAAGGAACTCGAGTCATTTATAGGATTAATAAACTTTTATGGTTGACACATTGATAAATATGCTGAAAAATTTTTACCTTTAAACAATTTAAGAAAGAAAGGAGTTACATTCGAATGGAGGAAAGAGCATCAACAGGCATTTGAATTGCTAAAAAGAACCCGTAGTAAAGGTTTATGACATCAACCAAGATCTAGAGTTAACAACAGATGCTAGTGAGAAAGCTATATCTGGAATACTTTCACAGAATGGCCATCTGGTATTGTATCTCTCACGAACTTTATCAGACGCTGAGACAAGATATTCTAATATTGAGAGAGAAGCATTAGCTATTGTATGGTCTGCTTACAGAGCTAAGCATTTTTTGTTGAGTAGAAAATTCAAATTAATATCAGATCACAGGCCATTAGAATTTATATTTGATAGTAACAAAGAATTGCTTAAAGTCACATCCGCTAGAATTTTAAGATGGGCCATACAAATGATGGCATTTGACTACGAAATAAACTACAAGAATGGAGAAAACATTCCTCATGCTGACGCATTATTGAGATTGTCCTTTCTACCACAAGATGAAGAGAAGGACCAAGAAACATTCATACATTTAGTCGAGTCAGATATCGTGAACCTTGAGCAAATAATAAAAGAAACAGAAAATGATAGGGTATTGATGGATATCAAAAACAGAATTAGCAAAATTAATTGGAGCAGATGCTCGGTAACAGAAAGATCTTATAAATCTATTAGGAATAAACTGACTATCGAAAAAGATTGTATGTAATGGTGATCTTATTGTACCTCCTAAGACAATGAGAAAGATCTTCATCAAATCGATCCATGATGATATACATTGTGGCATAATGCAAACGCGATGTAGATTAAAATTGGAAGCCTGGTGACCTGGCTACTGTCAAGATGTTGAAGAATATGTGAAAAATGTGCCGAAATAAAAGTGAAGATAGAAAGGACATTACATACATGGCCAAGTGAAAATAAACCTTGGTGTATAGTACATATGAATCATGCCCATGTACAGGGTATCAGACTGTTTTTGATTTTAGTAGATTCTTTTTCTGGATGGCTGGAAGTTATTAAGGTAAATAACCGTGAAGCGGCCACTGTAAAGGCAGTACTACAAAGTGTTTTTTCAAGAAATGGAGTTCCAGAGGTTTTAGTATTCGACAATGCTGCGGAATTTCATGATACCACCTTACACCAGTGGCTAAAGAAAATCGGTTGCGTGCTTTATAAGACTCCACCTTACCACCCTCAATCTAACGGAGCAGCTGAAAGAATGGTAGAGACAGTCAAGATGGGTTTAAAAGCTTATTCACCGGACAAAAGTTTATTATGCGGATATTTAAGCAGAATGCTTTTAAGCTACAGAACAATACCTTATGCAGAAAGATCAAGGAGTCCTTCCGAGATGATGGGAAGGCAGTTGAGATCCCCTCTCACCATGAGTTTCGAAAGTGAAACACCGTTATGGTACCGCCAAAGACCAGATTCCAAACCTGAATCTACTTCATTCATCTCTCAGGCAGGTCTAAACACTGCGATCATATTAAGGAATAACTCTTCAGGTACGTTAGCACACTGTGACCAAATAAACAAACGCCTAAATGAGCCTAGTATACTTATGAATAATGAAGACAGTATATCAATAATGAGAAAATCGATCCTTGCAATAGTGATAAATCTGATATGCCCGAACTACATGTTACTAAAGGAGAGCCTAACCAGGATCGAAGAAGTACACGGTCGACAAGAGGGCAAAAGCCAATACGTTTCAGGGATGTGAAGCTGTGAACCTTAGTCATATGCGGACAAATAGGAACAATGTTTATATATATATATATATATATATATATATATATATATATATATATATATATATATATATATATATATATATATATATATATATATATATATATATATATACATATGTTGCTATATTAAAATGTATAATAAAGATGGCTTACTTATAAGAATATATATATTTAAATATAGTACAGTGTTTTATTAACGACACTACACCTTTCTTGCTTTTTAAGTCATTTTCCAAACAAACTTTATTTCCACATTTAGGGCATTTAAACTCACTAACCATTAGTTTTAAAATATTAAAGTTAATAATGATATTGTAATTTTTTTGACTTCCAGATATTTCAGTGTTTACTAGTTTTCTGATCCAAGTTTATCTTGCTGATAAACTTGGATCAGAAATTGATGAATCAAGTTGAATAAACTTTGAAGATTTTAGGTGTTGATTACAAGAAAACTTTCTTTTTTTAGTTCGAGCAATAAAACGTCCCATATCTTATTTAGCTATTTATCTATAAAAACATTAACAAACTAAAACAGCATGCAAGCACAATATTTTGATACATGTTCGCATTATTAGTTCAAGTTATAGCTTTTAAAATAAACATGAAGCAAAAAACAAACAAGAAGCTGCAGTAGAAAATAGTTTTTGATGTTTATAAGCTTGAACAAGTTTAAATTTTTTTGTTTTAAAATGAGTTGCTATGGCGTTGCTACGGACTTCTCAATCTACTATGGCCACAAAACACATAATTGTTCACACTTCCTTATTTATTTATTAAAAAAATAATTAATAATATTATTCTATGAAAAATTTTGAATTTAAATACCAATTTTAAAAAAATTGATTTTTTCTAAAAAATTTCGAAATTAATGGGGATGTACCACCTTAAAAACGAAGATGTAATTAAAATATCACACAACGTTGATGTCACTGAAATTACTTATTCATAATTTTTTTTTTTAATTTTTTAATTTCAATATTCAAACGCTCAGAGGTAACTAAGGGATTTAATATAAATAAATTATCAATAAATTTCTCCTAATATATATAGATACTAAAATTAAATAAGTTTTAAAGATTAAACAACTAAATTTTTCCTACATTGTCCACCTACTGGCCCACTGTGCGGCGTTCGGGGCAGCTTATATCGATTGTCCATTTTCCTAAGGACGACCCTGCATATCTTGGAAAACAATATTAATAAAATGTCCTCATTTTTAAAAATATTTTAAATAAATCTACAGTTTATTGTTGCATATTATAAGTTTAAAGTGCATAAACATGTCGAAATATAACAAAGAAAAATTTGGTTGGTATGCAGTTGTTAGTTATACTTCATACTTTAAATTTTAAGTATATGAAATAGTTTTAGATCTTTTAAGCTTTAACCTTTTAAAAAACGTATTTTAAAAAACCGTTATGGCAAAGTTGTTTTAACCGGTTCATTATATTTTAACCGGTATATAAATAAATTTATCCGGTGTTGTGCATATTATTATACCGAATGATGATAAATCCGAATTTACCTAATCCAACACGTTTGATTAAAATGATTATTATTCATAAATTTATATATAACTGTCACAAATGACACAACTTAAATGATCGTATAGTTAAAGAATGCAAAGTAAAGAGTTTGATGAATCCAATTCTCAAAAATTAATAAAATATTGCTCTAATATTGTTTTCAAGTATGCATTAACTGGAATTCAAAACTTGTTCCACTTATGGGTGCTAGTTTATACGTTTCTTGCAGAACTTAAAAGGTTTTATTTATCGTCTACAAGGCGAATATCTGGTGGGCTGAGTTATGATTACTTGCAATACGACATAAGCAACCTTACCAAGCTTCCTCGGCACTTAAGTTTTGTTGTAAATGAAGATATTAATACAAATTCATGTGAAATTGCTAATTTATTGTGTTGGACTATTGCCATGGGAATTCCTTATATAACTTTATATGACAGGCATGGTAAACAAAATATTTTTTTGTTGTTTTTAGTTTAAATATCTTATTACAATAAATATATACTTTTCTCAATAAAAGAGATAATTTGAAACAACATTAAATTTTTAAACTAACTAAATAGTAGAATTTTGTATATCATTAGAAAGGCCTTAGATTCAGTATTTTAAAGGTAAAAAAATTATAAAAAATCAAGTAGTTTAATATTTGTTAAAGGTCTAATACAGGGTGGCCAGCCAACTGGAAATCAGGTAAAAGTCAGTGAAATTTTTCTAGTCAAGGAATTCAAGGAAAAGTCAGGGATTTTAAATTTTTTCTCCAAAAGTCAAGGGAAAAAATGTCTTTTTTAAAATTTGATTTTTTTTTAATGTTTTTTTTTTTACAAACTCCCAAACAACAATCAAATAAAAGAAAAATTTATATTCATGCCATACATTCATAAAATCATATAGAAAAATAAAATATGATTGCTATTATATTATTACCTAAAGTTTCCATACATTCATAAAATCGTATGGAAAAATAAAATATTATTGCCTAAAGTTTGTTACATATCTTTAAAATATATAAATCTATTGAAGCATATGATTTTATTTATGTTAATAGAATGTTAACTTTTTCCAGGTAAATATTATTGAAATAACAAAAATGTCTAAAATAACTTACTTTTATAATGACTGGATCAATCTTGAATGTCATCCATCATGGAGTTGGTTTAAGAGAGCTGATAATAAAACAAAGGGTATGTTTAGTGTATGCGGAAAGACATTTTCTTTAAGTAATATGGGTATTATGGCCATCAAAAGTCACAAAAAAAGTGCAAAACATTTAATATATATATATATATATATATATTATATATATATATATATATATATATATATATATATATATATATATATATATATATATATATATGTATATATATATATATATATATATATATATATATATATATATATATATATATATATATATATATATACATACATATATATATATATATATATATACATATATATATATATATATATATATATATATATATATATATATATATATATATATATATATATATATATATATATATATATATATATATATATATATATATATATATATATATATATATATCTTTAAAAAGCCAACCAACAGTATTTGATTTCACAGGTCTGCAACATTTTTCTAAGATTAAAGAGTTAGTTCTTATGTATTTTTGATTGCTGAATTTGAAAAAGTTATTAAAAAAAAATTCCATCATGTAAGGTTTTTCTAAAAAATGCAAAATGCTATGGGATTACCTATTTTAGGGCACAAAACGGGGTTTATTGCCAAAATACATGAAGATAATATTAGTCAGCATTGAATCATATATATATATATATATATATATATATATATATATATATATATATATATATATATATATATATATATATATATATATATATATATATATATATATATATATATATATATATCGGAATTTTCCATAGTAAGTATGGAAAATCCTGATATATACAAATGCAGAAATTCCCAAGGAATTTCCCTTTCATTTATTTATTTCTGTTACAACTTTCGTAATGTGCATTTCAAAAATGACTTCAAGAGGTTGTGTAAATTCTTCTGAGAGTTTTTGCTATATTTGTGGTGAATTTGTAGTAAAAAGCAACAAAGAAATATTACTGAATTTGTTAAAAATGTGTACTTTGCGTATTTTGGTGCGAAGATAAGTGATCAGGACAAATATTGGGCCCTGCATGGAGTTTGTTCAGGGTGTGTTGAAGGAATTAGAATGTGGTCAAAAGGTAAAGTTAAATCTTTTCGTTTTGGTGTTCCCATGATCTGAAAAGAGCCTCGAAACGAAAAATAAAAAACAAATTTTTTATTCAAACATAAATTAGTAGTCCTCAACAAATTTCTCAAGCTGAATTAAATGACCTGATCCGAGATTTAGGACTCTCAAAACAATCTGCTGAGTTACTAGGATCTAGACTGCAAGAGAAAAATTTGTTGACACCTGGAACTTCTTTTGCTTGGTATAGAAATAGAGAAAAATATTTTGAGCCTTATTTTTCTCAATATGGTGAGCTGGTCTATTGTTCTGATATTAATGGGTTAATGTCTTGTTCGAAGTTCAACATACAGCTATAAATTGGAGACTGTTTATTGATACTTCAAAAAGAAGTATAAAAGCTGTTTTACTTCACAACGAGAATAAGTACGCATCAATACCCGTTGGTCACTCAGTGCATTTGAAGGAAACTTATTGTAACTTGGCATTGATCTTGGATAAATTAAAGTACAAAGAATTCGAGTCGATAGTTTGTGGGGATCTTGAAGTAATTTCTATGATACTTGGACAGCAAGGTGGTTACACAAAATTTCCCTGTTTTCTTTGTGAATGGGATAGTTGTGCTAAATCTAAACACTGGAACCAGAAAGTGTGGCCGAAAAGAACATTGAAGGTCAGAGAGAAAAACGTGCACTTTGAATCTTTGGTTGATTCTAAAAAGGTCCTTCTACCACCACTCCATATCAAACTTGGCATGATGAAGCAGTTTGTGAAGGCAATGCTAAAAAATGGTGAGATATTTAAATACCTTTCAAGCAAGCTTCCTGGTTTGTCTGAAGCAAAGCTGAAGGAGGGAGTTTTTGTTGGTCCTGACATTTGTAAGCTAATGAAAGATAACAACTTCGAAAATGTGGTGAACTATGAGAGGTCAGCATGGAATTCTTTTAAAGACGTAGTTACAAAGTTTTTAAAAATATCGTAGAAAATATGTTGTGCAATTTTAAAAATCTGGGATGCAATTTGGATTACTTCCCGGAAAATCTTAGTGCAGTTAGTGAAGAGCAAGGTGAGAGGTTTCACCAAGATATAAAAGAAATAAAGAGAAGGAATCAAAGTCAATGGGATACAAATATGATGGGCGGCTACTGCTGGATGCTGCATAGGGAAATGTAACGTCCCACAAAAAAAAAAAGCACTAAGCGAAGCTTGGAAACTAAAAAAACTAGATTTTATAAAGTTGTATATTTATAGTTGTATATATTGTAAACAAATTATTTTGTGATTTAAAATTAAGTAAATTGGTATAATTTTACGATTTTTTTTTCTTATGATTATTGTCTAAAATAGTAGTGTAAGACGTGTTTTGCCCATAATTTATTTTCGACTTAGCAGAAAATCCTTACATGATGGGTCGAATCCTTTACGTGATGGATGGTATTATTGAAATCAGCATACCAAAATACATATAATTCACCCATTCCAAAAAAAAAACGGTTTTAATTTGCAGACCTGTGTTATTATTATTATTTTATTATCCATTTTTTGAACCATAAAATTGAAAAAAGTTACAGATTTATTTATAATTTTACAAAATTAGGTTCGGTGTCATTTGTATAGTTTTTAGTCATTGGAGTGACACCTAAACTAGTCATTAATAATAATAACAAATAAAGGAAAAAACAAACAACAAAAAGTAATAATATATATATAGTGACCAAAAGATAATTATAATAAAAAGAAGAACAATAACTATTAAAAAAAGGCCAGGCTAATAATAAAAAAAAAAGCGAATAAGCTTACATGAGAGATAATGAAAAATAAAAAATAAAACAAAAAGATATATTTAAATACTATGATGAGACAAAAAAATGAAATCACTTGAATAATAGCAACAAAGTAAAAGGCAACAATAATAAAAATAATTAGCAACAATAGCACACACACACACACACACACACACACACACACACACACACACACACACACACACACACACACACACACACACACACACGCACACACAAAAGCATAACATTATAAACAATACACATATGAACATGTCAATATGAAGGATGCACAAAATTGCATGACAGTATAAACAAAAATAGAAATACAGGACAAAATAAACAATGCAAACAACATAAATTGTTTTTTCCTTTTAACTTTTTTTATAGGGCATTTCCATAAAATCACGCACAAACATTGCACCTGTTGCATTAATTTAAAAAAAAAAAAATTAATGCAACAGGTAGCTAAAAAATTAGCTAATGAACCTTTTTTCTCTGAAAATATATCAGTGACGGGTGTTTTTTTTTTATAGGTAATTATACAAGCATTCTTAAAGATTATTACAAAGTTGCAGCATTCTACGATGTATCTTTGCTGTGCAATAGTAGTTTAAACCAAAATCACGCACTGACAAAAAAAAATTAACGATCGGAACATGCAAACATTATTCATTTTTGTATTTTAATGTTATTTATATCATAAATAACTTATATATCAATACTAATTATTTTAAATACAGCTTTTATTAAAAAATAATATTTTAATGTATTATATAGTTACTATATATTAATATCAAATAATATCAAATTTGATATAATATCAAATTTTTAACAATAAGTTTAGTTGTAATATTTCAGCTCAATAATAACGTGTCCACAGTTATCAAAGTGTGGTTGTGGTACTAATGTCTTTAACTCACACAAATCATGCCAGGAGAAATTGTCTATAGATGAGTATATACAGTGTGCCAAAAAAAATGCAGCAAATAATTTCTTTTCAAATTTTTCATTCCTAAACTTTAATAAAATACTAGTAAATATTTTTTTGGGAGAGAAATACTTTAAAATAAAGAAGAAATATATTTAGTTCAATATTTTATTTCCATTTTATAAATTCCATGATCACATTTTTTTTAAATTTTTAATAAATATAAATTGACTTTGATTTAAAGTGCAAAATAAAAATTGTAGCAAATTGTTTTTCTGAGGGAACTTAATTATAAATCACATTTTAGTATTAATAAATCACATTTTAGTATTTGGTGGGTCCACCTTTAGCCTGGACAGTTTCACATCGTCTTGGCATTGATTCAACCAAACTTTTTGTTTCTTCTGGCATAATTTTTGCCCATGCACTGTCACAGCCTCTTTAAGCTCTTCTTTCTTTCTGAGTGACCAATCTCCAATTTTTCTGTCCAGAATAG